GTTAACAGCCGCGAAGCCTACTTCCCCTGCCAAGAGGCCAGGGCAGAGGGGCAAGAGGCAAGGCTCTGCGGAGGTGGGCTCCGGGCGTGGGCCCCCCGGGGAGGGTCCCGGACCAGACGTCATGAGCTCAGGGACCCTCTCTCCCCGGAAACCCAGCACAACATTGCGCCGATCCATCCTCGCTGAGCAGCGGGCCAGACGCTCTCCTCAGCCATGCACACCCGTGCCAGCCCCATCTGGCACGACAGCGTGGTCACACAGAGATGCACACACACGAGGCCACACATGTCCACACACACGTCTACAGACCAGAATATGTCCGTCCTGCAACGCACGCTCACACGCGCACACGTGCCCACATTTCCACGCACCCTTCCCAGGAAGCCAGCTCTGTCTCCCCGGACGGTCGGAGACGATGCAGGAAGAATTGGTCTGGTTCTTGGGGGCTGGGAAGTGAAGGGACGCACGGCCGATGGACGGACGGACGGAAGAGACGCTAGTGACTCTTCTTCTGAACACAAGGCAATCCCTCAGCCGTCTTTGGACACCCTTTCTGACACTGACCCCGGACGTCCCCCAAACCTGCTGACAGGCCTTCTGGTGGGCCGCAGCCCGTCCCTGCCCATTAAGGTTTTAGGGGTGACATTGTGTCTCACAGCTCCAGACTCCACGTCTAACTCTCCATCAGCACCACCCCTGGGACGCCCGTCTCCGGCCACCGCGTCCTCCAAACCCAGCATGCCTGCCCACGGCCCTCTCCCAGGAGGTGAGTCCCTGCCCCTCCTCGTCCTCCCACACCCCCCATGCTCCCCCCGGAGTAATCAGGGAATTTCTCCAAGGTTCCTTGTGATCCACGGACTTCTCCCGCCTCCGTGGGGCAGCTGTGGCCCACGCCTTGCCACCTCGGCTGGGTCAGGGCCATGGTCTAGCACTGCCCACGCCTGTGTCCACAGAAGCCAGACTGATCTTTACTAAACGTGGGCCGATAACAGAAGAACAACAGAGAAAATCACTAAAACCAAAAGGGGCAGCAAACGGACCCGGACCGGAAAGAAAGGACAGACACACGTCACTAAAACCAGGAGGGAGAGGTGCATGCCTGCCGACCTCACGGACACCTCGGGTCTGGAAGGGGTTACCACGGACAAGTCAGACACCGACACAAAGGTACAAACACTTAGAAAGCCGCCAACTATCGAGAATGACAAAGAAATAAAAAGCCTTAATTGATCTATCACAAGCAGACGCCAAGTCAGTCTCACGAGACTTCCCACCGGCAACAGCCCAGACCCGACGGCTTCGCTGGTGACTCCTGACAACGTCTAAAGATGAATTAATGCAAATCGTTCCCAAACTCTTCCCGAAGATGGACCTGCCGGGGCTTTCCACAGGGTCGACCCCTGATGCCAGCACCACGGATCACGAGGGAGCTGCAGGCCAATGTCCCTCGTGGACACAGACGAGGTCCCAGCCACAAGGCCACGAGCCCATGTCAGAGGCACCAGCCGGTGATGGTACCACGACCGAGACATGGTCCACGCTAGGAATACAAGATGGGCTACCACGCAACAGTGGTGAGTGCCCCGTATCGGTAAAGGAGAAGCCGCCCAGTCACCTGGACAGACCCCCCACCCCGCCGCCCCATGCAAATGCCCCTCACTCCCAGTCAAAGTTGGTCCCACCCGACGCATGCAGGCGCCATGCGACCCCGTCCTCCTGTCCTCCTGTCTGTCCCGCCACACTGAGGAGAGGGTCCTCGTGGTTCCCCAAACCCAGCAGGTGCGTGGCTGCCTCAGGACCCTAGTGACCCCCCAGCCCCCCTTCACATCCTGCAGGAGGCCTCAGGTCCTCAGCCAGCACCACCTCCAGGGGAGCCAGCCCCCAACGCTCCCGTCTCACCAGTCTTCCTTATCTAAGCATGCGCCCTCGGAAATAACGCGACATGCGCTTGTGTGACTCACCTGCCCACTGCCTCCCTCAGGGAGGACGTAACCCCCAGCGGCCACACTGCTTTCGTGTCACCCGCTGCCCCTCACCAGCACGCCCCTCACACGTGTTTGTTGAGTGAATGAATGATGTGAATTCCTGGTGCTGTGTCACAGGCCCAGCGCTGGAGAGGATGGGAACCGCCCTGGGTCCCCCGGGGCTGGGAGAGGGGTCAGAGCCTGAGCAAGAGACACTGAGAGCCCCAGGAGTGGAGCAAGGGTGGGGCCCAGTGGTCAGCAGAGGCTCCGTGGACGGATGGGGCAGGGAGGGAGCCACAAGGGGCCTGCAGGGGGTACTGGGCTGTGAAGGCCATCCAGGAGTCCACTGGGGGCTTTGGGAGCCAGCAGGAGGAGCTGGACCCGGTTCCAGAGGCCCCAGGGAGCCCAGGAAGGTCCTCGGTGTCCCTGGCCACGTGGGGAAAAGAGACTGTGGTAGGTGAGCAGTGAGGCCAGCAGCCCAGGAAGGCAGCTCCTGGCACAGGGCCCAGAGAAAGACAGAAGGCATGCGCTGTGCCAGACAGAGGGCACCAGCAGAAGACTGCAGGCCAGGACGTGTGAGGGTTCTGTGACCGGCGCCGGGCGGGCGGGCAGGACCCGGATCGCGAGCCAGAACATCCATCAGACGTCGGAGGCACAGACGGAAGCACGGAGAGGGCCTCTGCTCAGGAGGTCCAGAAGGTTCCACTCTCCTCCTGGAAGGCTGGAGCCTGGCCTAGGGGGGCTCTATGCTGTCGGTACCATGGCCGGGCCTGAGCACGAGCCCCAGGAAGGAGCAGCATCCCGGCACCCGAGAAGGAGGGACTCGTCCCGGGCCTGCCCGCCGTCCTGCCCTGCAGCCCCTCACCCCCGTGCCAGGCCTTGAGAATCTTTCCCGCTGGCCCTGTCAGCCAGGGCGCAGCGTCATCCGCAGACGAGCCGTCCAGCTCTGGAGAGGTGCCAGGCTGCAGAGGGGAGACAGCTGTGTCCCCTGAACACAGCCAAGGAGCAGTCTCCAGAGCCAGCCAGGACCACGGCAGAAGCGGGCCTGGCAGGGGTTCGGGCCCCGGCTGCTGCCGGAACAGGCCCGTAGTGGGCCTCCATCTGCCTTCAAGGTCAGGCCCACGCGGCCCCCGCCAGCCGAGATGCTGGTCCCACTCAGGCTCCCGCTCTCTCAGCCAGGATGCCAGTGCCCGTCCAAGCTCTGCTCCTCCCCTCAGGGACCAGAAGATCAGTACAGCGTCTGCGGGCTGAGTCTCCATCTCCTCTGTCCCATGGTCTGTGCCGCTGTCTCTGGCCCTCGGTCTTCCAATCTGTGAGCGGCGGGGAGAAGCCCTTCCCCACAGGGCACTATGAGGGCCACGTGGGGGCACGCGCAGAACGCGAGCCGGTGGGACCTGTCTGTTCGCCAGGGACTCAGCCAAAGCCCACCCACGGCTGGACACGGGCGAGCAGCGCCCATACCGAGAGACGCGCCAGCCCCCGTGTCAGGCTCAGGGAGGAGCGCGCCGACCCCCTCCCCACCCCAGGCGCTGCAGGGCGTTCATCTGAGGAGTGAGGACGCGGGTGAGGGGCTCTGGGTGGCCCAACCGCAGTCAGAGGACGCCAGCAACACGCCCACCCTCCCACGCCAGACAGCACCGCGAGGGCACCCCAGCACGTCGCCCAGGAGCATCAGGATGACAGGGCCGGGCACATTCCGAGCGCAGGCAGGGGTCCGACAGATGCCACAGAGGGGAGACGGGCCTGAGGGTCCCGAGAGGGGAGCCCTGCAGGGTCCAGGCAGGAGTGGCCGAAGGGAGGCCACCTTGGAAACAAGCAGGGGGAGCCGTGCCAAGACAGAGGCAACAGTGTCACCTTGCACCGAGAACCAGACGATGCAAATAGCAGGGCTCCAAGACTCACAAGGGACCCCTGCGCACCGAGAACCAGACGATGCAAATAGCAGGGCTCCAAGACTCACAAGGGACCCCTGCGGCACCGAGAACCAGACGATGCAAATAGCAGGGCTCCAAGACTCACAAGGGACCCCTGCGCGCCGAGAACCAGACGATGCAAATAGCAGGGCTCCAAGACTCACAAGGGACCCCTGCGCACAGAGCCAGCAGCATCTGGGCCCCAGCAGAGCAACCCCAGACTCTGGGAATCCTGCCCCAACTAAGCCGGCCACAACTCCCTCTTGCCCCAGTGTGGGGCTCTGGGCCTGGCCACAGAGTATGGGAAAGCGGAGCCAAAGCTGTGGTTGATACGGGACCTGGCTTTTCCAGGGCATGAGGGTAACAGGAAAAGCCATGGGATCTGGCCGTGGGATCTGGCCATGGGCTGTGATTTGCCTTCCGAGTCCAGCCTGCTCAGGGGCATCTGTGTCTGTTGTGGGGACCCCAGGGCCTTGGGACGGGAGGGGAGGGGAAGGGGAGCCCGTCTGTGGGGGGGCAGAATCATGGGTCCCTTCCCACTGGGTGGGACCATCAGGGCTGGGGGATGGGGAGCCACGTGTGGGGGGTGCACACAGCCCCCCAACACACTGCAGTGCCCGGTGGACCCACACGTGTGCTGAGCCCAAGCATGAGCATGGGACAGTCCAGAAAGGCTCTTGGAGAAGAAGCCCTTGCGCCGGGCCTTGCAGATGAGCGGTGTTCAGGACGCCCAGGAGAGGTGGTGCCCTGGCAGAGGCCGAGAGGCGTGAGTGGTGTGAGGCAGTGATGGGAACATGGGTTAGTGTCAGACCATCCCACAGGGGCGCTGGCCTCGGCCACGGCCCATGCGGGCCTCATGCCCCGCCTCACACCCTCTGTGTCCTCGAGCTCCCAGCGTATCCGAGCCATCAGTCCCAGTCAGAGCGGCTCAGGCTCGAAGCCCAGCTCTGCTCCTTCCCAGGTGTGCTGCTCTTGGTAAACCTCCGTTTACCCGTCTGTGAAATGGGGGTACCAGATGCTCCCTGGGCGGCTCCAGAGGTGGAGGCCGGGCACGGAAGGAGCCCCCATGAACAGGGGCGACCCACTCCCCACGCCCTGCACCGCGCCAGGGGCCCTCACTTACGTAGGAGGCCAGGAGAGTGACCCGGGCCAGGATGAGAGCCAGGAAGAGGCAGGGGGCGGCGGCAAGCAGGCTGAAGGCACAGATGAGGGGCTCAGCCCGTGGGTTGACTTTCTTGTACCTCCTCGCAGCCTCTGCTCCCAGGACAACCCCAATGATGCCGGTCACCACAGTGAGTATCCCAAAAATCAGGCTGAGGACAAAGAATAGAGCAGGGTCCATGAGCCAGGCAGGGTTGGCCCTGTCCTGGGGCTCAGCCCCCAGGGCAGGACTGGGTACCTATGGGGAATGTGGCCGTGGACCCCTCCCTCTCCCTCCAAACCAAGGCTCCGGGGTCCTCAGGGTCCTGATCAGGGGCCCATATACCCCCCCTCCCCCATCCCCATTCCTGCCTCATCCTGGGGATGTCACCAGCCATGGGGGCGACCGGCCCACCACCCCCACCTCCAGGGAGCTTCTCTGACCGCCCACCATCCCGAAGCTCCCCCCTCAGAAATCTCAGCTGCCCCACTCTGGCCCCAACCAGCTCGCCTTCTCACTCCGCACACAGATGGGAATGGAGGCACGGGAATGTTTATTTGTTGAGCTCCTAGGATACACCCGGCCCTCATCAAGCTTTGCACACACCCTCCCGAACCCCACTGTTCCACGTGGCCTTGGCAGAGCTCTCGAGCTGCCCCCTCCTGCCGCACTCCCTTTGCCACCCACTCCCCCTCCAGCTGCACTTGGCTCCCCAGCACCTGCCCGGGGAGAGCCAGCCCTCCAGAACAGACCCCCACGGGTCCCCAGAGCGTGTGTTCCAAAATATAGATCTCCCAATCCCCACCGGAAACCGTCCACCAGCTCTCAGACACCCGCCGGACTCGTGCCAGCCCATGTGACGCACGTGGCCCTTCCTTCATGGTCTCATCCTGGTTGACCTCAACCCTGTGCCCCCAGCTCCAACCTCTTCTGCCCCCAGATGAGTTTCTGTCCCCACTTCAGACTTTTACTCTTCCATCGGGTTAAAGCCTCTGTCTTCGGCTCAGGTCATGGTCCCAGGGTCCTGGGATGGAGCCCCGCATCGGGCTCTCTACTCAGCAGGGAGCCTGCTTCCCCCTCTCTCTCTGCCTGCCTCTCTGCCTACTTGTGATCTCTGTCAAATAAATAAATCTTAAAAAAAAAAAAAGTCCTGCAAGTTCTATGCTGACCCTCTGCACAACAGGCCTGGTGAAGCAGCAGTCCAGCTTCTACTTCCATGCCCCAGGGGCGGGAAGCCCACTACCCCCACAAAGCCCATTCCCTGTGCACCAGCTCTGAGTGGTCTGAGTCCTCCCAGGGCCGGAGCTGGAATCCTGTGTCCTGGAGCTTCCTGCCCTTCTGCGTCCTCACCCTGGGGTGACCCCAACCACGGAGAGGGGACTAACAGCTGAGGTGGGTGTGGAACCCCAGCACTGGGACCTTCTACCTGCTCTGTGATGGGCTGAATAGTGCTCCCCACAATGGCTAGGTCCTAACCTCCAGAACCCGTGCGACACAGACTTTGGCGCAAAACAGACTTTGTCGATGGGATTCCGTTAAGCATTCTGGGATGGGGATTATCCTCCATGTTCGAGGGTCCCTACAGGCCACCGCCAGCATCTCTGTAAGAGGGACGCTCAAGGAGACTTGAGACACAGAGGACAAGGCAACAGGACCACGGCCACAGAGACTGGGGATGCAGCCACCTGCCAGGGCATACCAGCAGCCCCCAAAGGAGAAGAGGCAGGAGGACCGTCCCCTGAAGGCTTGGAGGGGGTGCGGCCTCTCGGAGCTCCACTCTGGCCCCGTGAAACCCCTCTGGAGGCCCAGCCTCGGGACCTTGAAGAACAATTCTGTTGCTCTAAGCACCACACCTGGGCCACTTGCCACTGGGGCCTAGGACATCGCTGGCCACACAGGGTCCATGGAGGAGCCCAGTCGGAGGACGAGGCCAACGCTGAGAAAGGGGAGCTGACTTGCCCCAGGATGCAGAGCCAGAGAGCATCAGACAAGAACATGAGTTCTGTCTGTCCCCCCGCAATGTGTCCGGGCCTCTGCAGGACCCCCGACGTGTCCAGGCTGCTGTGGGACTTTGAGGCCCCCATCTGTGTCCCCGGGAGAGAATGTGCTAGCGGTAGAGCCGAGACCAGCAGCACAACCTTGCAGGCTGCCTTCCTGCGCTCTGTCCCTGAGGCTCCACGTGAGCACCTGCCCTGTCCCGGGCCACGACGTTCAAGTCCCCAGCAGTCACGGGAGGCTCCGGCGGCTCCAGGATGCAGCACTGGGAGCACCGGCCTCAGAGCCAGATGGGTCTGAGGCTGGGTCTGCGGCCTGGGCAGCTCATTAACCTTTCTGACCTCCCATCTCCTCGCTCCATAACACGGAGCAAAGGGTTTTGTCATACACGCTCAGAGGGTCTTCCAGGTAAATACTCCCCATTCCGGCCTGAACTAACAAGAAGGCTTAAGAAGCGACGGTGGGAAAAAGGAAGGGAGCTCCTGGCGGGCCAGCCAGGCCAAGGCACAGACGCGCAGGAGGCCTGGGGCATTCTAGAAATCACGTGAGCTCCTTCCAGGCTCCAGTGGGGAAGATGGAGACAGAGGGGAGGCTAGGGAGCAGGAGGTGGACACAGGTGTCAGGGGGCTACACACCATGTCCCTGAGCCTCGAGGAGCTCGGCCTCTGGGGACTGAGAAGCCAAGTGGAGATGAAGAGGAGGAGGAGGAGAAAGGCAGTGACGGGGGCCTGGGACTGAGCTGGAGAGATGTTGGCCTGGGCACAGCACAGGACGAGGTGGGGACAGGAGGACACTGCCCTCCGGGTGGCTTTTTCCCCCACCCCAACATTCTGGCAGCTTTTTCGGGACACTTGGGGCCCCAGACGAGGCAGAGAACACGTGAGTGCACGTGCAAACTGCCCAGCCCCGGAAGGGATGCGGCATCCCCAGACCTCGATTTGCCATCTGTGAACTGGGAAGGCCTCACGCCACGGGTCCCATCGTCCCACAGGCCCCACAGAAGCCTCACTCCCCTACCAAGTGCCTCTCGGACCCCCACAGCAACCCAAGAGCGGGAGAACTGGGGCCCAGAGGTGACGAGGCTCCTCGCCTGTGGCCCCCCAGAGCCCTAGGACCTCAGCCGGAGCAGATCTGGGCCTGCCATGCCGCCGAGGTCCCGAGTCCTGGTTTCTGCACAGAGACGCTGAGCTCGGGGGCTCAGAGCGGCCTCAGCACTTGCCCGCCAGGAGCCCCCTGACCTGGGCAGCGCCCGGGACTCCCAGAGGACCCTCACCTGTCCTGGCTGTTGCACGGATCCTGGAGGCAGGGAGGCTGCAGTCCATGCACCACACGGGCCTCAAACAGAAACTTGGGGGCCCAGAAGCCCAGGGCTCCAGTCACAAAGGCTATGGCCGTCACCCCAAGGGTCGACCACACAAAACTCCAGCTGCAAGAGAAAGTGCCCTGGCTGAGACCCCTGGGAGAGGGCCAGGGCTGCGGGCTAGCTGCTCCTGTCACGCGCCACCCCATCCCGGGGACACTGGCCCCCCGGGTGCTCCGGATCCTCATGGCGTCGCCCACGAGCCCTGCACTCCCCCCTCCATGCATTCCTTCTCGCCGGCCCTTCCTCCCTGATCTCTGTGGGACCAGCTCTCCCCCTCCCAGAAGGCCCCAAGCCAAGAGCACATTCTCCAGGAAGCTGTCCCTGCTGCCCCCACCTTCCTCCAAGTGCCCTCCACTGGCCGCATGGCTCTGTATCAAAGAGAGCCGGTCCCGTCCGCGCCCCACATTCCAGTAAATCAGGAGGCTTGGGAGTGCGGTTGACTCCTGTCTGCCTCCCCGCCCATGCCCGGAACACGGATGGACGCACTCCCACGAGGCCTGCAGAGGTGAGTGATGAACAACCAGCATCCCCCCGGCAGCCCTGGGAGAATTACGTCCATTGAATAAAGGAAGGGAATAAGGTTCCAAGTCTCAGGTCACTCGGGGATAAGGCAGCGACTGAGCCAGCATCCAGGCTCGCACCGCCTCCTTCCCAGCCCCTACTGTCCCACGGCAGGGCGAAAAGAGGGCCTCCAAGTGAGGGAAGGGCGTCTCCATTGGTGAACTCAGAGGAGGGAGAAGGCTGTGATCCTTGGGGCTCCCTGGAGGCCGGGCGGGGCCGGGCGGGGCTGCTGGGCAGACGGGGGTTTTCAGTGACGCGCAGGGAGGAGCGGGGACACTCACTTTCTCCCCAGGTAACTGACATCCTCACACCAGCTGCTCCTCGGGTCCCCCACGGCCGCCTCTTCCTGCTTCTCAGCAGCTCCCCTGGGCGGGTCTGGAACCAGCACCATAAGCAGGATCAAGGCCACCACTTCCAGGCAAGGCATGACCTGGGCATGGGAGGGCCCGGAAAGCTCAGGACCACACAAACACACCCGGGACGCAGGAGCTCCTGCCGGTGACAAGCCACGTGGCCCAGGGTCTGGGGGGCTCTGTGCCCTGGGGGTGGGGCAGGGGGCTCACTTCTTGGCTGCTGGGTATACGGAAAGCTTGACATTTCCTCACCCCTAGGAGCACAATCTCTCTGCGGAGTAGTGTCCCCTTAGGACTCCCTTTAATGTGTCCAGTAGGCACAACTCCCTCAGGGCTCATGAGCCCGACCGGAGGACTCAGCACCTGCGCCTGCCAGGTCTGTTCTGCCCCAGGCTATTCCCACCCTTGGCTGTCCCTCCCCAAGACCCCACGATGCAGCACGTACACCCCCCACCCACGTTACAAGCCGCTTGCCTGAGCTCACACAGCTAGCAAACCCAGAAGCCAGCATCTGAACCCAGGGCCGTGACCTCCACAGCCATGTTCCATCGAATGTCTGAAGCTGCCAAGGTCTGATCCCTCCCACGGCGCCAGCGACCATGCCACGTGGCTAAGGCCACGGGAGGCTGGAAAGTCCCTGCCGGCCCAGGGGGATCAGAGGGAAGAAGAGGAGGCTGGACTCACTCGGAAGGCCCAACGCCAGCTCCCAGTCAGCTGCAACATGGCTGACCCCAGCACGTAGCCCAGACCACTGCGATAGAGGGGCAAGGAGGACAGGCAGTGAGGGTGGGGGGCAGGTACAAGCCGGCAAGGCCAGCCTGAGCTGGGGTCCCCACCCAAGGAGCTGCTGCTGCTCACAGCCCTGTCACGGGAAACGTGAGCCACGTGAGGCCCAGGTGTCCGCTGCCCTTGGTCAAGTCACTGGTGACCTCTGGCTCCAGGCCCATCCCCTGCACCACTGCCCAATACGGCCCTATCTGAAGACCCACGGCTCAGCCCTGCCTGAGTCAGGCGATTCCAGGAAACCCGGATTAGAGCTCAGAGGTCAGATTGCAAATCCCACTCTGACATACACAAACCCGCCCCCACCCTCACCACCCCAGGGGTGCCTGGCCCAGGCCCACACACGCCCCAAGCAGGCCTTCCCCAGTGTCCTAGGGTAGAGGGAACACCTGTATTATATCTAACCCTTAAGACAGCCCACCGGCCTGTGTCCTCACCACCTTTACAGATGAGGAAACTGAGGCCCAGAGAAGTAAAGGGACATGGCAAGGAAGGGGGAGGGCTGGGATGCAAATTCCATCCCCAGTCCAGCTTCTGTCCTGGCTCCTGTGGGCCTCAGTTTACCACCTAGGGAAGTGGGTTCTGGGTGGTACCAACCTTCCAACAGGGATAAAGATGTAGAAGACGGCCAGCACCCGGGTCCGCTGTTCCCTCACAAAGAGGTCGCCCAGGACAGTGGGCGCGATGGTGGAGAAGCTGGCAGAGCCTATGCCCACAACCCCCCGGGACAGGAAGAAGAGCCAGGAATACTGGGCAAGGAAACACAAGACCCCAGTGAGTCCCAGGATCACCCATGGGGGGAGGGACCAGAGTGTGGACACATGCCCCCAGGGGAGGAGGGGCCGGGGGCTAAAGACCCCTGGCTAGCTTCCCCGCCAGGACCCCCAGCATCACACGGGCGCCCCCTGCTGATGCCTGCAGCCACCCCCGGCCCCATGCCCAGGGAGCCCTTTTTCTGAGCGTCAACCTTTGCCATGCAGGCCAGTTCCCATGGACAGTAGCGGTCACCCGCACACGCCCCCCACAGACAGCAGCGGATCGTGCAGGAGAGGAAGGCTCCCGTGGACAGCATCTAAGGGGGTCCTCCCTAGGCCCTGGAGGGCACCCCTGCCGCCAGCCTAGAGCCCGGAATGGACGGAGGCCAGCGCATCTGCCTTTCCAAGGGAGAAACCAGGCGGAGGCAGGTCCCCAGGGGCCTGGCAGGGGTGTGGGCACCTACCTGGGGGGAGATGAAGGAGCTGGAGAGACCTGCCCCCGACCAGAGCAGGATCCCAATACTCAGCGCGGCTTTGCGGCTGTGGCGGTCGCCCAGGTAGCCGAACACCGGTGCGGACAGCAGCAGGCAGCAGACGAAGACTGGAGGGGACGGGCAGGGCCGCATGCATTCCCCGCTGCGGCGAGAGGGCGCGCGGGCCTCCTGGACCCCACGAGGGACCGGGCTCGGATGCCACAGTGGGCACCGCAGCAGTGGACGAGGGCCAGGAGGAGGAAAATGTACCCCAACCCCCCGATCTCCGCCTAACCCATAACCCAACGCCCAGAGTCAGGGGACAGGGAAGGGGAGTGGAGGGCCGGGCGGGCTCAGTGCACCGCTCTGAGCAGCCCCCCAAGTGCCCGCGGGGCTGTGGCCCGGAGTGAGGTCGGACGTGGCCACGGGGCAGCGCGGGGGCCCCCAGGGCTCCCTGACCGGACCCTGTCTCTGCAGAACCCCCCTCCTCTCGCCAGCCGGCCGGGTCCGATTTTGCTGCCGCACCCCTGCTGGGGCGGTGGGGGCGGTGGGAGGCGAGGGCGGTCGGCCTGTGGCTCGGCCGCCAGCAGGGTTTCGCGGGGTCGGCGGCCAGTCCCGGACCCCGTCCGTGGTGCTGCTCACTCAGTGAAGCGGACCCTCCGACCCGCGGCGGGACGAACGAGCCCGGCGGCTGCCCCGCGAGCGGGAGAAGCTGCCGCGCGTCTGTGGGACTCGCCGCGCGCACGGGGACCCTCGCGTCTCCAGTCCCCCCTCGGCAGGTGCAGCTGGAGGCCTGGACCCGCCTCCGCCGAGGCCTCCCCCCACGCCCGGCCTCCATTCACTGAGCGCAGATGATTGACGCGGCCCGAGCCGAGTGAGCGCCAGCCCCGCCCCGCGCGGTCCCAGCCCCTCCCACCTCCCGGGCGGCTCTAGCATCCCGCTGAGCCGCACGCGTTTGCAGAAATTAGGCCAGTTTTGACCCACAAAATCTGGCAATTTAATACGGTTCGACCGAATACCCCCACAGAAAATGGTCCTCGGTGTCCGTGGCGTTTAGAATTTAACAGCTTCTGCCAACACGGCCGTATCCGTGTCCGCGGGCACAGAAGCGCGTGGCATGCCCCCGGCTGGCACCTGACGCATCGGTCGCGCTGTTTTTGCTCCTTTAACGGTTGAAAAGCGGACAGTGTCTCGCTGGTGTTTCAGTCTGCATCGTCCATCTGTCCAGTGAAGCTGAGCAGGTTCCCGAGCTCACATCCTCTGCCGTTTGAAATTACCATGCAGATCGTGGGACTAGACGACCTGGGCTCTCACCCTGAACCAAAGAAAACCCTAACCCTAACCCTAACCCTAACCCTAACCCTAACCCTAACCCTAACCTGTGTGCCTGTGAGCAAGCTCCTTAACTCTTCTGTCCTCCTCCAGTCAGTGATAGGAAATGGTAACTGTGCTTCCCACAGAAGGTTACAGAGAAAATGAAATGAAACAAAGCATAGGACAGGTAGCGCCTAGCTTTAGGTGACCGCCTCGTAACTGTCGCCCATTGTCGTCTCTAACTGCATTTGTGGTGTCAACTGCCGTGGTACAGAAGAGTGTAGCTTCCGTAGACTCAAACCTATCACTCTTCCTCTGGCCAGGGTTGTTTGTCTTCGTAAGGTGTATCTTCTCTCCCCGAAGGTTGTAAAAATATTTCCCTGAATCCTCTAATAGTTTTATGAGGTTTGGGGCAGGGATCCCTTATCGATATAAACAGCTTCACCCTGCAGATGCCCTGAAATGGAGAAAGCTGCCCTGGGGGGAAGGCACCCTCACACAGGTGCACACCCTGGCTCCTGGCAGCTCCAGATTCGGTGACTTGGGAGACAAAATGGAAGGAGTGAAGGAGCAGGGGGTGAACAGGAGGGCTCTACAGGCAGCTTCCAGGACTTGAATCCCGGCTGCGGGACCTTCAGCAAGCGCACAGCCTTTCTGTGGCTCAGGTTTGTCATGGGGAGAACGGGCACAACCATAACAAGAATCCCCAACCCTGTGGGGTTGTTGTGAAGGGTGAGTGGGTTGGTCTCACAGGGCACTTGAGATGGTGTCTGGCACGCGGTGAAGGCCACATCAGTGTTGGTTTTAGATATTACCCATCAGTGGACCAACCCCAGGAGCCTCCTGTCCCATTGGGAGGGTCCAGTCGGACAGCCACTGACCGCACCCTCTGCCCCATCTTACAGCTGAGCCACGCCCTCTCAGTTAGGGGCTTCCTGCGTTCCGCGCCCTGTGGACAAACATCAGCGGGGGGTTTGGGTCTTACATGAGGTCTTACACCATGACTGTCCCCAGTGAAGACTCCCCCAAGGTCAAGGGAGAGACAGAGCCTGGTCGTCAGGCCTCCAGCCCCCTGCTCTCTCCACATACCTCTCGGGGCCGCTTCTGCAGTGCTGACCCTCCCTTCACCTACCGCACACCCCGGGCACGTGCACAACCCACCCCACACTTGCACACACGTGCACATGCTTCTTTCTCCACGGCATCTCACTTATGGGAGCCTCGTGGTGACAACCCTGCTCACCAAGCAGGGGGAAGACCAGGGAAGACGGATCGTGACTCAACGGCCATCATCTGTGTAATCTAGAAGGTTGTGGGGACTGAGCCCAGAGGGTCTCACTTTGGCTCCTCGAAGGTCGGCACCCACTGCTGGCCTCTGCCTCGAGACAAGAGCGGTTGGAAAACACACGTGGTCTAAAGCCAAGGTCTGCTGGCTCTTTGCCCAGGGCCTTAAGAGAGAAGCTTCTCGAACTATGTACCCTTACACGTGTGTTCAGCCGACATTTAAAACATCCTTGTCATAAGTTTAAATAGTTGCAAAGGATGTGATTTCCACCACTATGGTATTTTTTGACTATATTTTCATCCAAATCCTTGGGGCTGCGGGTCACATTGGGAAATGTGATGTGATCACTGACCCCACCCGATCCCTGACGGGAAAAGGCTTCTGTCTCCTCACATTGGCTCTAAAGGGCAAAACCAGTCCTTATTTGCCAGATCAAGCCGACAAATCAGGCCTACTGCCTGTCAGAAAGATGTTAAAATGCTGGCTTCATCTTTGCTAATTGAAATAAATGTGTTGACACCCATCCGTGAGACATCTCCCTTCTGAACTGTAAATCCTAGATAAATCGGCCGTCGCGCCAGCAGGACAGCCAGATAAGCCTTGGCACTGGGCCGCGGGCGTGTGGCCTGGAGGAAGCCTCCCCAGTGAGTTTCTCCTGACACGCTCTCTGCCTGGCTTCCACGGCCCACCCCGCAGAAGCTGAGCACCCGTGGGGATCCCCTCTGTCTGGTACCCCAGAGGCTTTCTCACCCCAGGGCAGGGCACTAAAGAAACACTCAGAATAGGGAAGAGGGATGGTCTCTGCTTGAACAGAGGTGGGAAGGAAGAACCAGAGGCTTTTTCTCAGATGGGTCCATTTTAGGAAAGAAAAACCCAGGCTTGAGGGTCTGTAACTGGATTCTTTCAAAACTCTACTCATGTGGACCCAAGAAAGTGTTTTTGGCCCCCCCGGGGACCCCACACCCCAGCCTAAGAGACTTGTTCTGAGGTTTGGGGTTGCAGACTATTACGGGAGGGGAGCACAGGCAGGAGCCACGCGTGGGCTAGTTACGTGTTTGTGTGTGACCTTGGAATGGGAGGTGTCGCTGCTCCCCACTCCTGGACCCCATATGAGCCCAGTGGCAAATACAGATCTCTGTCTGTCCGTCCGTCTGTGTTCTGCAGGCCAGAAATTTCAGGTCCGTGGAGGAAAGCCCACAGCAGGATTGCCCAGCCCCAGCCAATCTCTGGCACTGCGCTGAGCCGGGCAGGGATGAGTGACCTGTCAGCACGGCCTGAGGCTCTCCAGCCCCATGCCCCTGCTCCTTCAGCAGCACCAGTGCTCAAACCCAAGACAGCTGCTCAGGTGCCAGGGCTCAGCCCACCTTCTCCGTCCTCCCACCCACGCTGGCCCTCACAGCCAACCCCACGCGTCCTCAGTGCCCCTTCTCTGTGTCAGGGGTGTGCGGCAGGGCTCAGCCTGACCCCCACTCCAGCATGAGCCCCGGGTCCCAGCTCCAGAGCAAGGACTCAGTCCTTACCTGTCTGAAGCAGACCGGCATTGCTATCGCTGATATGAAAAAAGTTCTGTACGTCCAGCAGCATCCCTGTGGACAGACGGACAGCGCTCAGGATGTGGGAAGGGGCTCCCTGGGCCTCTAAGGGCAGCTGGCCCGCCTGTGGGATGGGGCACCAGCTGACCAGCACAGCACAGAACACGGCCCACTGTTCTCGTCCCCTCCCTCCCACGCACGTGCAAGCACACATGCGTGCAGATGGGGGGACCGGCGCCCAGAGAGACAGACACACATCAACACACATACAGGAACACATACTCCAGAGGCCCAAACGCATGCCCACGTTCACGCATGAGCACCCACCCCGGGACAGAGAGGCAGACACACAGATCCATATCCGTCCACACAAATGGGCATGCACAGAGAAACACACTCTTGGGGCACAGACACACACGCGCGCGCGCACACACGGAATCTGCATGCCACAGGCCTTTGCATTTGCATGCACGAGGGGCTGCTGTTCACATACTCTTCCAAGGGGCCGACAGCTCCCTGTTGCTGCACAGTGCACAGCTTACTTAGACTACGGTGTTAATGACTAGGCAGCCCCGCTTGGGTACAAACTCCAGTCATTCCTGGATGTACATACCTGCGTGAGCACGGACACACCAAGACACACATGCCCTGGGCTGCATGTGCGCACACACAAGCATGCGCTTCCGGAGGCATGAGCAGAGAGACGGTGCCCCCGAGAGCCTCAGAGACAGGTCCCACTTGGGTCCAATCTTAGCCCCAACTCCCTGAGGGAGACAGGCCCTTGCTGCACATCAGCCGGGCCTCAAAAGCCCTTCCAAGTTCCCCCCAGGCCACAGGCCAATGCAGCGCCCCTCAGCCTTTGGCAGTACTTCAGCAGGGGTTCGTCAGAGTGGAGGCACCTGCTTAGCTGAGCTGGGAGGCTCAGGCCCCAGCGTCAGGAAGCCCTTAGCAATCCTTGCGGTCATTCGGTTATGAGCCGGCACCCGAGCTGGACCCTGCAGGTGTCTGCAGGTCCCCTCAGAGGCAGGGGCCGTCAGGGTCCCCACGGGGCTCTAGCCACGCCCACGGCTGTGCTGCGGGCATCCCAGCCAGAGGCAGTCCCCTTTGCCCACAAATGGGGTCTGCAGAAATGCCCAGGCCGTGGGGAGGATAGGGCCCCACTCGCACCTCCAAGACCTGTCAGCAGGGCCAAGAAGCAGAGAAACCAAGTACAAGATTCTTGTTGAGACATTTGCTTTGGGCCCGAATGCCGCTGCATGCAGCCGTCCCAGCCTGTCCCTCCATCCTTCCTTTTTAATATCATTAATCACACAAATAAGACAGAGGACTTGCCCCGGATTGTATCCGCTCCCGGGCTCCTCCCAGCCCTCCGGGGCTGGGAGTGGACCCAGCCTCCCCTTCAGCTGAAGAGCTGCTCCCCCCAAGGCATTGGAGCTGCAGGGAAAACCGCCAACAGGGGTCCCTGCCGCTCACCCTGCATGATTTCACTTCTCCGGGCCTCCTTCGTCCCGGCAAGTGACCTCGGCCCTGCTTTCCACCCTGTGGGAGGAAGTCCCAACAGGAAGGGCCTCCGCTGGCGGAACTCGGGGCCTCCGCAGCCTGCGTGGCCACCGCGCCTCTCTACCCCTCCAGGCTCAGCTTGGGCCCTGGCCCCACACACCTCCACACCCACTTGGGCCTCTGCCTAACCCATCGCAGCAGCCCCGGAACCGGAACCCCGGGCTTGTTCTGCCTGCACCGATCTCATTCTTGTCTCCCCCCCAAAATTGTCTGTGGCCCCCATTGCCTCAACAGAAGGCCCCAGGATCCCAGCATGGCACCTAGGAAGCCTGTGATCTGGTCCCAAGACCGTTTTAAGCAATCCCTGCCGTCTCCACTCTGGCCACCTCGCCAGAGCACACCGCCCACTCCGTCACCTGGACCCACACTGACCCCTTGCCCAGCACCCTCCCCTCACCCCACCTCCTGCCTCCCAACTTTCTCAGCTTCAGACCCACCCAAATGCCCCCTATTCTGAGTTCGGCCAGAACCCTCAGTTGCTGTCCTGGGGCCACCCGGCAAACGTCCAGCCTGCTCAGTCCTGTGTGCGCCCTCCGAGCTCCCCAGAGATGGATCCGCGTCTACAGCTCGCATCCTGCTTGCTCTGTCCCTGCCTGGTGGGCTGAGCCTGTGTCTGGTCGCCGGGGTCCTGGCCTCAGGGCTGCTGCGGGTGACCCCATACAGCCCCCCACCCAGCCCGGTCTGGGCTTCCCTCGGCCCCATGACGTGGGCATTCCCAAGCTCTGGAACCAATGGACGGACCCTTCCTGGGTCTCCACGCCCACAGGGTCATTCAGTCGGTCTTGAATGATTCAGTGATGGAGAGAGAAAAGGGGGTTACGTCTTGACTGGATGTGCGAATGAATGAGTTAAGTGAATGTGGGTGAGAAGAGCAGGCGGGTGCCTCAGGGCCTCCAGGAAAGAGGTCAGAATGTGCAAGGCCTGCACACAACCCCCGGTCCTGGAAGCACACGACCCGCTATCTCCGGCCCACCCTGCCTGCCATGGCCTCCCTCAGCGTCCCACCCGAACCTCCAGGCCTTCCCCCAAAGGAGCGGTCCTCCCTGCGGCCCTCGCCGCCCCGCTATGTGCACACGCCTGGGTGGGGGCTGGGCTGGGACCTCTGTGCCCCCCCCACCCCGTTGGGGCTTGGCTGGAACCCCTCCAAGGCTGAGAAGGGCAGGGCTGCCCTGCACAAGGGGACGGTCTGCAGGACATGGGGCCCCGTGGGCGTGCGGTGCTGGCCGGGGGCGGGGCAGCCGTGAGCCGCTGGCCACAGGTGCTTCCCAGGGTGCCGTCCACCGGGGCCACCTCACCTGCAATGATGCTCCAGTTCATGTAGTTGAGCAGGTTGACGTAGCAGAGGACTGCGGCAGCTGCATGAGCTCTCCCGCGGGACAGGCTCCAGGGGCCGGACACCGTCCGGGGGGCCCACACACCTGCGCCCGAGGTCCCAGGCTGCCTGCCCGGCCTGGGCACCCAGCTCTCTGCCGACATGCCGCCAGCCGTGCCAGCCTGAGTTCCTGTCCCAGAGGTGTCGGAGCAGAGGCCCATGGGCTCTGCACTGAGTCACTTCCTGTGGGCTCCCGGCCTCCCGACCTCAGAGCAGCTGCCCTAACTGCTCAGCATCTTATCGCAGGTTCCTGCCGAGCCCGCCCCCGACTGGCCCCCAAGGTTTCACCAGCCCCAGCTCTGAGGCCCGCGGGGGGGGCCCATACTGGGTGGCCAGACATGACGGTCCCCTCGACCTAGACTGTGGCTTCGGCGGCTGCAGTGAGGAAGAGAAGCTTCATGCGACAGGAAATGAGTTGAGTCTTCGGAGCCCTAGTCTCCAAAAGAGGTTCGAGAGCTGCCCACACAGGACCTGGGCGGCGAGCACAGGACATGAGCTGGGCCGAACCGGGAAGGCTGGGTGCTGGCCGGGAGAGCGGCACCCAGCTGGGAGTGAGGCACCTGCTCTGCTCTGGGGCCCCACGGCGGGGAACAGAGGAGTGAGGAGTGGTGGAGGGGCTGTCGCCAGGAGCACAACAGATTCAAAATCCAGGGGGTGGTTTGGAAGAGGGGTTGGGTACGGCACAGTCTCCAAGGGTCTCTTTACAGGATGTTTATAGGGGCCGTAACCGTGTGGTAGAGGAACCAGGCAATGTCCAGACCAAAGATTAAAGGAACACCACCGCCAAGAGCAGAGGGCGTGTGCGTATCCCCCCAGAGGCTCCGAGCTGGCCCCATGTCACCGAGGCAGGGTTCCCGTCAGCAATCCACCATCCTAATCTAATGAGGAAATGTCAGACACACCCAAACTGCGGGACATGGTATTGTTTTTACTAGACTATGCTCTAGGGAAGCTTTAGGACCCAGCAAGATTGAGCAGCCGGCTGGTTCTCTCACACACCCGCTGCCCCCTCACACCCATGGTCTCCCCCACTGTCAACACCCCCACCACAGGCACATTGTGATGACTGATGAGCCTACGCTCACATTGTAACGTGAGTAACCCAATGCCCATCACTTACATCAGGGTTCGGTCTTGATGGTGCACGTTCTGGGGGTTAGAACAGAGTCTGAGGTCTATCTGTCCTTAGAGTACCACGCAGGGAAGTTCCATTGCCCTAAAATTCCTCTGTGCGCTGTCCACGTCCCTGCCCGCCCCTGGCAAGCACTCCTGTTGGACCAACCCGTAGCTGTGTCTTCCAGGAAGCCGCAGGGTCAGAATCAACGGTAGGGAGCCCCTCCAGACTGCCTTGTTCACTCAGCAACACGCATTGTCAGGGCTTCCGTGTCATGTCATGGCTTGGGGAGTCACTAATGTTTATGCTGCATAATACGCCATTGTCTGGATGGACCACGTTTTATTTATCCGTTCATCTGCTAGAGGACATGTTGGTGGACTGCAGGTTCTGGCGGTTGTAAATAAAGCCATCCACACCATCTGTGTGCAAGTGCTTGTGTGCGCTCTGGGTTCCACTCCCTTGGGTCAATACCAAGGTTGCAACTGCTAGACTGCACGGTGCGGGTGTGGAACACGATCTTTTCAGAAGAGACTGTTTTCACTGTTTAAGATTTATTTATTTCCTTGAGAAAGAGCGTGCACATGGGGGTGGGGAGGGGCAAAGGGAGAGAGAACCCCAAGCAGACTGCCCGCTGAGCAGGAAGCCCGACACGGGGCTTGATCCCACGACCCTGCAATCAGGACCAGAGCTGAAATCAAGAGTCGGACACTTAACCAACTAAACCATCCAGATGCCCCTTTAAGGAAGGGTATTATCCAAAATACCAAAGTCCTCAAGGACTCAGGAAGACCAAGGGCTTGTTTAGATTAAAGGAGATGGAAGAGCTGTGATAAGTTAGTGCAACAGGGTGTCCAGGCCGGGTTCTGCACTGGAGGGAATCGCGTGTTACTGGATCAGCTGACAAGACGGGAGACCCAGAAGACAGACGCCAGCATGGTCCTACTGAAGTTGATGATGGTGACATGGCTGTGTAGATGAAGACCTTATGCCAAAGTATATAAGGGTAATGACCGCAGTATATGCAACTGGCCCTCAAGTCATTCAGGGGAAAAAAAGGTAGAGACCGCACGAGAGCCGATGGGGCAAGATGTGAAGAGGAGATGAGTTTGGGTAAAGTTGGCGTGGGTTTTCCGTACCATATTGTAATTTTTCTATAAGCTGGAGATTATTTCCCAATAAGCAAAGCACAAAATGATGAGCAACCCAATTAGGAACAGGCAGCAGACTTGGATAGATGTTTCTGCAAGGATGCACAAAGGGCCAACGTGCGTGTGAAGAGATGCTCAGGGTCTCTCGGCCCTAAGGAAAGGCTAGTCAGCACGACAACGAGGATGGACGTCCTTTGAGCAGTTCCCAGGTGGGCTCTGCTTTGGGTCTGCAAATGTTCTCACTGGAATAGTGTCATGGAAGATGCTTTGTCTCTTAAAAAAAAACCCAAAGAGAAACCCACTCACACAAACTAAGATGACTGGGAGTAAAATTTTTTTCATTAAAAAAAAATAACAAGTTTGGTGTGGGTGTGTGGGTAAATTAAAACCCTCATACATTGCTGGTGGGAATGGAAAATGGTTCGGCCTCTGTGGAAAACACTGTAGTGGTTCTCCAAAAGGTCAAACTTAGAATTACCCCCACGACCAGCAATTCCGCTCCTAGGTGTATACCCAGAAGGGTTGAAAACAGGGACTCGGGCAAGTACATGCCCATGATTGTCCACAGAAGCACTACTTGCCATTGCCCAAAGGCAGAAACGGCCCAAAAACCCACTAGCTGGTAAACAGGCAAAGTGGCCAGCCCTCTCGGGTCCCCTCCCTCTTCTGGAGTTTGTACTCTATCTTTCAATCAACTTCACTACCACTTGATAAACTTTGCTGCCTACCAAGAGCAAACAAACAAAAAAACAAGCAAACCAAATGCAGGTTGTGCATGCAACGAAATATTGTCCAGGCACAAAAAGGGATGGGGTCCTGATCCTCGCGGCTGCACACTGACCCTCGAAACACTATGCTAAGTGACAGAAATCATGCACCAGGGTCACACACTGTGTGATTCCATTTATGCAAAATATTCCGGATGGTTAAGGCCACAGACACAGAAAGCAGACTCGTGGTTGTCAGGGGCTGGGGAGGAGCAGGAAATGCTCGGTGGGTTTGGGGTCTCGCCTGGGCGATGGGATGTGTCGGAACCGGACAGAGGTGGTGGTGTCACAACACTGAAAGGACCGAATGCCACTGGATCCGCTGGACCGTGTGCTCTGAAACGTTTAAAGTCTTAACATTATGTGACGTTCACTGCGACTTTTTAAAACGCGCTAAAGCAAGCCAAGAAAAAGCCAGTCTGGAGACACGTCAAGAACGTGAGCTTTGCAGGACGACCAGCCAGGGCTCAAGTTCCAATTTCGCTTCTTCCGAGCCATGCCTAGGGCAAGGCCACAACCCCTGTGGGCCTCAGGGTCCTCACGGGGACAGTCACTCAATGAACCATCGAACCATCGGGGTCAAGTGCATGGAGCTTTCCCCGCTGGCCCAGTGTGGGGGCAGGGGGGACTCATAGGAGGCATCTGGGGAGGAGGAGGCTGGCCTTTACTACTGTGGGTCAGGGGCGCTCCCGCTGCCCAGGGGGTGGGTTGGTCTTGGCACAGCACGGGGAAGCTCAGAATCAGGCCCTGGAAGAAGAGCCGAGCAGCCCCAGGGCCGAGGGCCTGCCCACAGGGCTAGGTCACTGGGCGTCCCTCGGGTCCGCACAGTCCAGGCTCCTCACCCGTGATCCGGGTCCTGCCAGTACGCACCCCTGCTCCTGCGGCTGCGTGGTTGCTGTGCCATAGACAAGGTCATCCTTGAAAACTGCCCAGAACTTGGCCTGGTGTTGAGGAAGTGCTCGGGGTGGCCGTTCAGTGAAGTGGGACTCCCCTGGCTCAGGTGGCGGAGGCGTCGATTCCGGACCCACCCTCGGCTGCGGGACAGGCCGAGCTACATCCATCCTCAGGTAGAGTGCGTGAGAACAGACCCGGCACGTGCACGCAGGTGCCTGCGTCCTGCCAACAACACGAGAGCTTTGCACGTGACGAGCATGAGACAGAGCTGTTGGTCACTGAGCTCCAGGGTCTGGCCCTCGCTCCGCCAGGCCAGAACACCAGCCCGCCCCAGGCTTCCCAGCTCCCAGGATGCGTCCCATCAGGCAGGCAGGGCTCAGCCAGGAGGGCAGAGGGCAGCCTCCGACCAAGGACATGGGATGTGTCCCCGGGGCAGGGAGGGTCTGGAGGAGGCTGTGCCCAGGGGCGTCGTGGCAGCAAAGCTGGGGACCAGCAGGACGACACAGTCTCGGATGTTCGGGTACAGAGCCCAGGCACCCCCACTGCTTGGACAGACCCCCAAGGTCCACTCGACTTCCGGGTTGGTGTTCGTCTATCTGTCGGTGGGGCTGCACGCTCCCTGAAGGGTCCAGTGAGCAGACCTGCTCATTCCTCCAGGGATCACCAAGGAGATGGGGCCACCATCGGGCCTTGCATGCGAGCCAGGACACTGCAGTCCTGCTTCTCAGGAGCAGAAACAGGGAAGGGAAATGCTGTTTTCGACGGGCGAGAAAGACAGCCACCGTCCCAGGAAGGGGCTGGATGGGCCCGTGCCGGCTGCCAAGCCCCCACGGCGTGGCTGTCCCCTCCCACCCACCGCAAGAGCCGGGGTGTCCGGCCTGAGGCATCTGTGGGTTCGGCTAAGTAAGGTGTGACATGTTCAAAATCACTTTCCCTGAAAAGCCCGTGGGCGTGCGCCCAAGCCTCAAGAGAAGGGCCTCAGGCAAATGCCCGCAGCAGCGCCGGTCGCAGCAGCTGAAGGCCAGAAACAGCCCAAATGTCCATCAGCGAGCAAACGGGTCGGCAGGCTGCGGCCCATCCGTACAGTGGGACAGGACTCAGCCCTGAGAAGGAAGGGCCTTCCGACACCCGCCGCAGCACAGATACGGGATGCGCCCAGTGACACACGCCGGTCCCAGAGCGCA